GTAACAAGCAAACAACTTTGTGTAATCACATACAGTATGGTTCATGGGGACTATTTCAAATCATCGAAGCATAGAAAATAAAGAAAATATTTAATTTGATAAATCTGAATTGATCAGTAAATCCACCCTACCATAATCTGCATCCAATTTGGGTTCCTTCTCCATTATCGTATGCTATTCCAGCATTCATGCACGGGCAGTCAGTCGGTAGCACACACTTGGAATGATTCTCGTCGAAAACGTATCCGTCTTTGCATTCACACCCTGGAAGACAGTTCTTTTCTGAGCAAATTTCTACAAAGTACTGGTTTGAGCATGTCTTCCGACAGGTATCTCCTCCATAACAGGTGGTGTAAACCGCATTTTCACCACACGAGCAGGTCTGTTCTCCACATATAAAGTCACCCTCTGAACACAAACTTTCGAGAAATTTTAATCAAATTCATAATTAATTGTATTACTCTCAAAAGTAGTGTCTGGTACTGTTGGCAAAAGGGAGCAAATCAGATGCCTACCAGAGAAACAAGATACAATGGCCAAAGAAATGAAAATAGGCCTATGAAGTTTTAGATCGTTATAATTTTAAACAAAAGAACAAATACACCAGTAGAATTGATAAATAATAATAGCAATAACAATTACCATAATAAAACAATAACCTCCTGCCAACTTCGTTGGTGGTGGTAATAATAATAATAATAACAATAATAATAATAATAATAATAATAATAATAAATAATTTAATTATAATGGTAACAATATTAATTAATAAAATAAAATAAATAATAATATTAATAATGAAAATAGTAGTAATGATAAATATCAATAAAGACCCAAAAACAAAAATACAACTAAAACGATAAATCATTAAGATTTTTATTGACTATAACGTGTCTGTCACTCTATCCAAGTTTTTGTTATGGTTATTCTGTTTAAATAAACTTAGCTCGTAAAAGAATATAATAGAGCGTCTTATACTTATTTATATATTGCGCCTGCTAATTATGTGACTACCGAATTAAAAATAGGCCTATGAAGTTTTAGATCGTTATAATTTCAAACAAAAGAACAAATACACCAGTAGAATTGATAAATAATAATAGCAATAACAATTACCATAATAAAAACAATAACCTCCTGCCAGCTTCGCTGGTGGCGGTAATAATAATAATAATAATAATAATAATAACAATAATAATAATAATAATAATAATAATAAATAATAATTATAATGGTAACGATATTAATTAATAAAATAAAATAAATAATAATATTAATAATGAAAATAGTAGTAATGATAAATATCAATAAAGACCCAAAAACAAAATACAACTAAAACGATAAATCATTAAGAATTTTATTGACTATAACGTGTCTGTCACTCTATCCATGTTTTTGTTATGGTTATTCTGTTTAAATAAACTTAGCTCGATAAAAGAGTACAATAGAGCGTCTTATGCTTATTTATATATTGCGCCTGCTAATTATGTGACTACCGAATTAAAAGTAAATTAATAATTGAAAAGTATATATAGGTCTATTTTAATAAGATTTTGAACTCCTACCATTTACTACATCCCGAGTCCAATATATAACCAGCAGGGTAGTACCGACCATTTGCCAGACAGTGGCAGTTCTGCTTATTCACGCAATTACCGTTGTGATCAAAAACCTTGCCATTTGGACAGAAACAACCGGCAGTGCAGATGTCATTACAACTGTTGTTATAAGGTTGTGGATAACAGAACAGGTCGCACGAATTGGCACAAACTTTGTAAACGAGACCATTTGGACATGTGTTGTCTTTTGAAAGAGAATTATTTCATTAGTCAATGCAAAATACTCACAATAATACATAAAAGCATATTGTGAAGAGAACAACTTAGGTGTCCAATGTAATAGGCCTATATAGTGTTATAATTATAATAGGCAATGAAATCTCCTAGCAATTACAAACTGTCCACACTCCAATATTCGAGACTACCTTAGAAACCTGAAAATGTGAGGTGGTCTCAGGGGTTGGTCTTTAATTAGAGGGTTAGCTAGAAGATTGTTAGTTTAAAAAAGTGGTCTCGGAATTAGAGGGGTTTCAAATTAGAAAATTATAATAAAAGACCCTCCTGTATACGTCTGTAGCAATTACTTGACAAAGCCAGATGCTGTGTCAATATGGTGTCAAGATGTCAAAAACACACCACCTTTTTTTGTAGAATTCATTTTAAGTTTTAAATAATACCGTATGCGGTCCATACTACAGTATTAAACAATATAATCAATGGGAATGGGAAAAATGTGATGTAGATTTTGTTTATGGAAGATTCATACTCACTACATCCAGACACAGAATTATGCCAGTCGTCAAGATAAATTCCTTTCTTGGCACAATCGGAAACATACTGAGTTATCATGTTGCAATGCCCGTCTGACTGAGATGGATCGGTGCATATATCCTGCATGCAAGAGTAGTAGTATGGCTTCTGGTCCAGGTATTTAAAACACTCTGGGAAAATTATTCAACATAGTATTACCAGACATAGTATTACCAGAGTGAAGGAATAATGAAGTACATAGATTGTGACAGTTTATCAGAACAAAAGTATGTTAATTACCAAGTGATTAAGTCTCTATTGTTTAGATGGACAAAAGAAAGCCTACAGGATTAAGTAGTATATAGTAACAAGAACTTGCATCTATGTCTACATGAACTAAATAATTCGTTCCTTTGATTTAGAGTACAAATTTCGGGTTGACATATAATAAAATACTTCTCTTGTATACAAAGGTTACATCGTTTGGTAGAGTTGGAATATGATTTACATTTAGATAATATATGCCATTTAATTTTGTACTTTATCTTTTTTAAGCTTCTAAACATATTGGCTAAGTGTTGTGTTATTCTTGTATTTATCATTACGAAATTAGCAGGTATGCCCATTGTATCTACTTTTAAATGTATTTTCCGTAAGACCAACGTATGTTTCAACTTCATTATTGTCGTCCCTACTAATTGTCGCTTGGTATACTATGCTGCTACTTATAGACATTTCCCAGATAGTGGGCATTCATTATGGTTTCGGCAATTGCATAGCTTGCAGTTGTCTTCTGCCTTGTCATTTTTTATTATGGCTTTATTATGGGCAGAGATTATAGATCCAATATTAGGCATGCAGCTATAACTTATCTTAACAGTGTTCCTACTAAACATCTTTCTTAATACATGATTTTGTGGGAAACAATCATCTATAATTCTAAGGAATACATGGCCAATTCTGGTTTTTACATTACTACTGTAGGGTGGATTAAACCAAATAACGTTCCTTTTTCTTTTCTTCTTGTTAATGTGAGTGTTAGTAGAAGGATTATATTTTAGTTCATATTCAAACCCGCTTTCATTAAGAGCTTCCTGGTAGGTTATTTTAGTGTTGTTAAAGGCTGCCAACGAGACAGCATATCATATGATGTGACCTTACGATGATGCGCAGATCTAAGCCA